GGAAAATAAAGAAGATGACTTTTGCACACCTGTGGGACACCATTTCGCACAACCAGACCACACAATGGGAGACCTCAATAATTTAGTTGTTAACCGCATGCCGCCCAGCCACTGTAGATATACGGCGGCAGGGCGGCACTCGCAGGCAAAACCACGTTTTAAAACGTGTGTTTTGTAAACAAATAGGGGGCGCGCGCGAGGCGCGCCGCCGCCCTATTTGTCCTGCGGATCTCCGCTGCAGATGTCAGTCGCCGGGTCACAGCCGCTCCTTAGCGGCTATGTCCCGGCGATCGGCGGCAAACAGTGACAGACAGCACAGCTGCAGTAGCTGTGCTGTCTGTCACTTCTCTGTCAGCTCGAGGATGAGCTGATCGAGAAAGAACAGTTTCTCTTTCTCTATCAGCCTTGTCCCGCCCAGTACACCCCCCCCCCCGCCCTCTAGTAAAACACTCCCCTCACTCCTATAACCCTTCCCTGCAAAATAAATATAACCCCTTCCTCCCCATTGCCATTAGTACAGTGTCAGTGTTTTTTGTTTTTGCACTGATCACTGTATTAGTGTTTTTGGGGATGTCAGTGACCCCAAGTCAGTACCCCCCAATGTCAGAATGTCCATCGCAGTCCCGCCATAAGTCGCTGGTCGCTGCCATAAGTCCCTGATCGCCGCCATAATTCGCTGATCGCCGCCATTATTAGTATAAAAAAAAACCTAAAAATCCCAGTATCTTTCCCGCCATTTGTAAACGCTATAACTTTCACGTAAACCAATTAATTTACACGTATTGGGGTTTTTTTTTAGCAAAGACATGTCGCAGAATGCATTTTGGCAGAAATTTATGACTAAATTTGATTTTTGCATTTTTTTTTTACTGGATATATTTTATAGCAAAAAGTCCAAAAATATTTTTTTCTTCCCTCAAAATTGTCAGCCTTTTTTTTTTATAGCGCAAAAAATAACCGCACAGGCGATCAAATACCACCGAAAGAAAGCTCAATTTGTGGGAAAAAAAGGATGTAAATTTCATTTATGTACCGTATTGCATGACCGCGCAATTGTCCATTAAACTAGCGCAGCGCTGTATAGCAGAAAAATGGCGTAAATTGCAGTATCTATACCATAGTTTGTAGACGCTATAACTTTCACACAAAGCAATCAATATACACTTATTGGGACTTTTTTTACCAAAAACATGGAGCAGAATACATTTTGGCCTAAATTTATAACTAACTTTGAGTTTACTATATATTTTTTATAGCTGAAAGTAAAAAATATTGTTTTTCTTCAAAATTTTTGGCCTTTTTTTTGTTTATAGTGTGAAAAATAAAAAGCGCACAGGTGATCAAATTACACCGAAAGAAAGCTCTATTTGTGTGGAAAAAAGGACGTAAATTTTTGTTTGGGTGCAGCATTGCATGACCGCGCAATTATTAGTCAAATTAGTGCAGCGCCGAGTAGCAAAAAGAGGCCTGGTCATTAAGGGGGTAAATCCTCTGGAGCTCAAGTGGTTAAAGGGAATTTCAAATCCATTCAGGAAAGAAAAACTTTTGAACTAAGAATGATAATTCTATTTGACACAAGAGATAAGGGCCTGAATTTGGATATGGGATTCCTCACTCATTATCCAACAGTTTTATGACTATCACCTCAAGCATGACTCCCTCTGTGATGTGAGTGTTGTCTCCCCCCCCCCCCCCCCTTTGCCTTTGCTATGTCTTATCTCTAGCCTCTTTTTTTTTTTTCATCTCTTCTAACATTCTGCTAAAACTTTGTGAGTAGTACTGCTTGGACCTTGAAGAAGGGGACACTCCTCGAAAGCTTGTTCTCAAAATTGTATGTTAGTGCAAATAAAAAAAATATCAGGGACAGCACTCAGTTGTTTCTGTGAAAGAAAAAAAAGTCCAATATCTTTTATAGACGTAAGAACCAGTGACATAAGTCCGGCTGTGACACCTCTTCTGTGGAAGAATTCACCTCTATGCACTTACCAGAACTCTGGTAAAAAACAAGCCCACAGTATTACTGCAATCTCTGACAGCCTCCTTCACTCATTCCTCTTGACGGATCCGGTCAGAAGTAATCAGGACACACCTTAATAAAAATAGCTCAGCACACAGTTCCCAGAGAAAGGTGCATAGTGTAGTATTTTATTCGAAACACAGTATAAAAAATCCACGTGGAGTACATAAAACAAGTGGCCGGATTTACATAAATGGCTGCCGGACCATGCACGGACTCAGTGGTGTGAAGTCAGCTTGTAGGCTCCCTCCGACGCGTTTCGTGCACATTCTCAAAGGGACCCGCCTCCTGCTGATGTCTCAAATGCCCATCTTTAAATAGCCTGCATGAGTGCGATACACACCGATCACTTGTCATTTTGTTGTCTATATTGCCAAAAGTATTGGCCGCCTGCCTTTACACACACATGAACTTTAATGCCATCCCAGTCTTAGTCCGTAGGATTCAGTATTGAGTTGGCCCCGCCCTTTGCAGCTATGACAGCTTCAACTCTTCTGGGAAGGCGGTCCACAAGGTTTAGGAGGGTGTCTATGGGAAGGTTTGACCATTCTTCCAGAAGCACATTTGTGAGGTCAGGCACTGATGTTGGAGGAGAAGGCCTGGCTCTCAGTCTCCGCTCTAATTCATCCCAAAGGTGTTCTATGGGGGTGAGGTCAGGACTCTGTGCAGGTCAGTCAAGTTCCTCCACCCCAAACTCACTCATCCATGTCTTTATGGACCTTGCTTTGTGCACTGGTGCGCAGTCATGTTGGAACAGAAAGGGCCCATCCAGGGGTGGACTGACCATTTGGAAACTCGGGCACTGCCCGAGGGCCCGGGTCAGTAGGGGGGCCCCATGAGATGCCCCTGGTACCTTTTGTCATAGGCTTTTTTGAGTTTGGGCAAGGACACAGGGGCCCCATGATCCCCTATTGCCCGGGGGCCCCATGAGTTGTCAGTCTACCCCTGGGCCCATCCCCAAACTGTTTCCACAAAGTTGGGAGCATAAAATTGTCCAAAATCTCTTGGTATGCTGACGCCTTAAGAGTTCCCTTCACTGGAACAAGGGGGCCAAGCCCAACCCCTGAAAAACAACCCCACACCATAATCCCCCCTCCACCAAACTTTACACTTGGCACAATGAAGTCAGGCAAGTACCATTCTCCTGGCAACCGCCAAACCCAGACATGTCCATTGGATTGCCAGACAGAGAAGAGTGATTGGTCACTCCAGAGAATATGTCTCCACTGCTCTAGAGTTCAGTGTCGGCCTGCTTTACACCACGGCATCCGAAACTTTGCATTGCACTTGGTGATGTAAGGCTTGGATGCAGCTGCTCGGCCATGGAAACCCATTCCATGAAGATCTCTACGCACTGTTGTTGTGCTAATCTGAAGGACACACCAAGTCTGGAGGTCTTTAGCTATTGACTCTGCAGACAGTTGGCGACTTCTGCGCACTGTGCGCTTCAGCATGCGCTGACCCCGCTCTGTCATGTGACGTGGCCTACCACTTGGTGGCTGAGTTGCTGTTGTTCCCAGTTGATTCCACTTTGTTATAATCCCACTAACAGTTGAGCGTGGAATATTTAGTAGCCAGGAAATGTCACGGATGGACTTATTGCACAGGTGACAACCTATCACGGGACCACGCTTGGAGTCACTGAGCTCCTGAGAGCGACCCATTCTTTCACAAATGTTTGTAGAAGCAATCTGCATGCCTAGGGGCTTGATTTTAAACACTCGTGGCCATGGAGGTGATTGGAACACCTGAATCCAATGATCTGGAGGGCGGGGCCAATACTTTTGGCAATATAGTGTGTATGCATGTTGTATATGAAAGATTGCAAGTACCTAATGCCTGATGGCTTTATAATGTTGTTTATAAGTATATTCATCTCACATTATTTATTATTTCATCTTATTTACATTTATTTAGGAACATATTTTTACAGAAATTTTTTTTTATATTTTAGTGGTTTATAGCACTTCACAGTATGTTATTTATTCGGTTAGAAACACTGACAGAGGAGAGTTCTTGAAAGATAAGTATTATTAAGAAGGCTATGGGATTAGCAGTGTTGAATTATAATATGCAATACAAACAAATTGGATGTATCATATGTAAACACTGGCAAATCCTTCAACAAGATAAACATCTAAAGGATTATGTATCAACAAATTCTAGAATATATCCAAAAGAGCACCAGCCAGGGATAAATTGGTCCATAATGTTATAGACCCCCCCCCCCCCCCCCAAAAATTGGGGAATGTTACATTTTTTGAGGGGAAAGGTTTTTTTTTTGCTTGTGGCCACTGTTGTGTGATAACTAAAAGTGTCAGAAGACTTAAAGACTTCATTCACCTTATTACAGAAAAGATGCATGTCAGGGCTCGAAAAATCCCAGGCGCCAGGTGGCAATGGCGACTAGAAATTGCGTCCTGGCACCAGGGAAGTCGCGCCCCATAGACGTCTATGGGGAAGTGGCGCCCCATAGACGTCTATGGGGAGGTGGCGCCCCATAGACGTCTATGGGGAAGTGGCGCCCCATAGACGTCTATGGGGAAGTGGCGCCCCATAGACGTCTATGGGGAGGTCGCGCCCCATAGACGTCTATGGGGAGGTCGCGCCCCATAGACGCGCCCCCCATAGACGTCTATGGGGAGGTCGCGCCCCATAGACGTCTATAGGGAGGTCGCGCCCCATAGACGTCTATGGGGAGGTCGCGCCCCATAGACGTCTATGGGGAGGTCGCGCCCCATAGACGTCTATGGGGAGGTCGCGCCCCATAGACGTCTATGGGGAGGTCGCGCCCCATAGACTTCTGTGGGAGGCGCCCAGGGGCGGACTGACCATTTGGAAACTCGGGCACTGCCCGAGGGCCCGGGGTCAGTAGGGGGCCCCATGAGATGCTTGTAATAGTGATCAAGCGACTAGTTAGCCGCTCCGATTGCTATTACAAGCCAACAGCCGGATCTACAAACCGGTACCAGGGCACAACCACTTGCAGACCGGTGACCAGGGACGGACTGACCATTTGGAAACTGGGGCACTGCCCGAGGACCCGGGGTCAGTAGGGGGCCCCATGAGATGCCCCCTGGTACCTTTTTCATAGGCTTTTTTGAGTTTGGGCAAGGACACAGGGGCCCCATGATCCCCTATTGCCCGGGGGCCCCATGAGTTGTCAGTCCACCCCTGCTGGTGACTTACCAGATATGTGACTGGTCAGAAAGTGGATATAACATAAATTGGTATTATACAAAAAAATTCTAGGATCATACCATACAGGTAAAACCGAGCTTGCATATGGTTCTGCTCATCAAGTGTAGGGCGCCCATTCATTCCCAAGTGAAAAGGCACTGACCCTTTTTCAAAAACACACTGCACAGGATATTGGTTTTAATAATATTGCACTATTGGGATGTATTGGTGAAGTGTATTTGTGATATAATTTGTAGAGGTCCAAAATGAGTGGTGAGCATATAAAAGTGCACAAAGGTGGACCACGGGTGTAACTGCATGAGTGGACTTATACGGTCAAAGTGGACACAGCTTTATTACTTTATGTTTTCGGATTGGTGATATTGAGGGGGCCATCTTCACTTGAATTGCACTTATTGTAATTGCTGACAATTGTATTTTGGGAGCACTAGTCAGATTGTCAGATTGTAGTAGGATTGTGGTAATATCACTATTACTATATTTGTGATCATTATTTGTGGATGAATTATAATTTGTGAAATAGCCTTTTAAAACTTTATATATAACATGTTTGTGTACTTATTCATATGTTGAAAAACATATTCTATAATAAAATAATATATATAATATAGGGGATCTAATTTTGCATGCTGGTCTGTTGCTGGAGAGACATCTATAGTTGCTTGGAGGTCAATTGTTGCTGTCAGTGATCTACTGTTAATGGAAGATCTGTTGCTGCTGCTGGGGGTCTGTTGCTCTTGGGGTGGTGTTTTGTTGCAGGGGTCCATTATTGCTGGGGGAATCTATTGTTGCTAAATTTTTCTATTCTACTGCTTTTCTTGTAATCATTAACAAATTCCTCTGAAAGGAGAAGTACGGGGAGGTGGGTAGTAGGAACCAAGGGATGGTGCTTGTAAGTGGGAAGGGGGCGGGAAACAAGGGGTGACTCAGAAGGGGGGAGTTCCGGCAGTGGGAAGGTAGGCGGAAACAAGGGTTGTCTCATAAGAGGTGAGTTCCGGCAAGAGGTGAGTTCCGGCAGTGGTAAGGTAGGCGGAAACAAGGGTTTTCTCAGAAGAGGGGAGTTCCAGCAGTGGTAAGGTAGGCGGAAACAAGGGTTGTCTCAGAAGAGGGGAGTTCCGGCAGTTGAAAGGTAGGCGGAAACAAGGGTTGTCTCAGAAGAGGGGAGTTCCGGCAGTGGTAAGGGGGGTGGAAACAAGGGGTGACTCAGAAGGGGGAGTTCCAGTGGTGGGAAGGGGGGGCGGAAACAAGGGGTGACTCAGAAGGGGGGAGTTCCAACAGTGTGAAGGGGGTCAGAAACAAGGGGTGTCTCATAAGGGGGGAGTTCTGGCAGTGGGAAGGTGGGTAGGAACCAACAGATGGTGCTTGTAAGTGGGAAGGGGGCGGAAAACAAGGGGTGTCTCATAAGGGGGGAGTTCCGGCAGTGGGAAGGTAGGCGGAAACAAGGGTTGTGTCTCAGAAGAGGGGAGTTCCGGCAGTGGTAAGGTAGGCGGAAAAAGGGTTGTCTCAGAAGAGGGGAGTTCCAGCAGTGGTAAGGGGGTGGAAACAAGGGGGGACTCAGAAGGGGGGAGTTCCTGCACCTATTCTCTGAGAAAAAAAGCCCTGGATGTGGGAACACACAATAGGTGGTAGCAGATAAGCAAAACATTATAGGTTAGGTGTGGTGTTACTGCACGAGGCCTTCATACGTTTTCCACTTGACGATTCTGCTTGCAGAGTCCAGATGACATCCAATTTTGAAAGGAATAGAACTTCCTCTAAGAAACAGCCATCCTCCGGATCCCATCTGAATGTCTAAGTTCGGATGAAGGGTGCGCTCTGTAACCCTCGAAACACGTTGGTTTCTGGTTATTGAATGCAATGTACTCTTTCCTATCTCAACAATAAAAACCTGACAGGGGTAGGAATGATGGAATCTCTCTGTTTTCAGTTCGCAAACAGTTTCGTGAGCCCCATTGAAATTGGGGAAGCGGAGGTATTGGCTAATCTTAGGCCATTTGTAGGGCCAACAGGCAAGCTATGGAAAAACAAAAGACATGGGAATCCAGACACTGCATTGGGGGGGGGGGGGGGGCATTGCCAAAATCCTATCATTCATGCCATATCCTTTTGTTAGGGTGCTGAATTATCTGTTCCTAAAAACTATTGGCCCTTGTGACTTTGCTGACCAGGAAAATGTCTATGCACCATATAATAGGTTGTTCCTTCATTCTGGCAGTCAGTGCCGGAACAAGGTCATCTAGTGCCCTGGGCAAAGATGCCAAACCCCCCCCAAAAAAAAATGTATGAGCAGCAAAAATCCCCCCCCCCAAAAAAAAAATTAAACAATAAAAAATTCAGCACTAATCTTCACACTTACCCCCTAAGCATAAATTCCCTTTGCAAACCAAAATTCACCCCCCAAAAAAATTCCCCCTCTTCCAGTACATTCCCACTAGAGATGAGCGAATCGAACTTGGCGAAGTGGAATTCATTTAGAATATTAGGAAAAATTCGATTCGCACCGAATCCGAATTTTAGCAAACTTCGGATGCACGAATCGAATTTTCCCCGATCAGCCGGCAAAAAGTGTCCCTGCAGAGAGCTCCGCTATTTTCTGACAGTTCTCTGACAGTTCCTTCACATTTACAGCGGTTGAAACATTGTATCTATTTGTTTCCATTTAGGATACAGATGTTTTTATTCGGAAACAAATAGATACAATGTTTCAACCGCTGTAAATGTGAAGGAACTGTCAGAGAACTGTCAGAAATAGCGGAGCTCTCTGCAGATACACTTTTTGCTGTACTGGAATTCTTCTTCTTTTCATTCTTCTTCTTCTTTTCATTCTTCTACTTCTTCTTCTTTTTTCATTCTTCTTCTTCTTTTCATTCTTCTTCTTCTTCTTTTCATTCTTCTTCTTCTTTTCATTCTTCTTTTCATTCTTCTTCTTCTTCTGTTCATTCTTCTTCTTCTTCTTTTCATTCTTCTTCTTTTCATTCTTCTTCTTCTTCTTTTCATTCTTCTTCTTCTTCTTTTCATTCTTCTTTTCATTCTTCTCATTCTTCTTTTCATTCTTCTTTTCATTCTTCTTCTCATTCTTCTTTTCATTCTTCTTCTTCTTCTTTTCATTCTTCTTCTTCTTCTTTTCATTCTTTTCTTCTTCTTTTCATTCTTCTTCTTCTTCTTTTCATTCTTCTTCTTTTCATTCTTCATTCTTCTTTTCATTCTTCTTCTTCTTCTTTTCATTCTTCTTCTTCTTCTTTTTTCATTCTTCTTTTCATTCTTCTTCTCATTCTTCTTCTTCTTCTTTTCATTCTTCTTCTTCTTCTTTTCATTCTTTCTTTTCATTCTTCTTCTTCTTCTTTTCATTCTTCTTCTTTTCATTCTTCTTTTCATTCTTCTTCTTCTTCTTCTTCTTTTTCATTTCTTCTTCTTCTTCTTTTCATTCTTCTTTTCATTCTTCTCATTCTTCTTTTCATTCTTCTTTTCATTCTTCTTCTCATTCTTCTTTTCATTCTTCTTCTTCTTCTTTTCATTCTTCTTCTTCTTCTTTTCATTCTTCTTCTTCTTTTCATTCTTCTTCTTTTCATTCTTCTTTTCATTCTTCTTCTTCTTCTTCTTCTTTTCATTCTCTTCTTCTTCTTCTTCTTTTTTCATTCTTCTTCTTTTCATTCTTCTTTTCATTCTTCTTCTTCTTATTTTCATTCTTCTTCTTCTTCTTTTCATTCTTCTTTTCATTCTTCTCATTCTTCTTTTCATTCTTCTTTTCATTCTTCTTCTCATTCTTCTTTTCATTCTTCTTCTTCTTCTTTTCATCTTCTCTCATTCTTCTTTTCATTCTTCTTCTTCTTCTTCTTTTCATTCTTCTTTTCATTCTTCTTCTTCTTCTTTTCATTCTTCTTCTTCTTCTTTTCATTCTTCTTTTCATTCTTCTTCTTCTTCTTTTCATTCTTCTTCTTCTTTTCATTCTTCTTTTCATTCTTCTTCTTCTTCTTTTCATTCTTCTTTTCATTCTTCTTCTTCTTCTTCTCATTCTTCTTTTCATTCTTCTCATTCTTCTTTTCATTCTGCTTCTTCTTCTTTTCATTCTTCTTTTCATTCTTCTTCTTCTTTTCATTCTTCTTTTCATTCTTCTTCTTCTTTTCATTCTTCTTCTTCTTCTCATTCTTCTTTTCATTCTTCTTCTTCTTCTTTTCATTCTTCTTCTTCTTCTTTTTCATTCTTCTCATTCTTCTTTCATTCTTCTTCTTCTTCTTTTCATTCTTCTTCTTTTCATTCTTCTTCTTCTTCTTCTTCTTTTCATTCTTCTTCTTCTTCTTTTCATTCTTTTTCATTCTTCTTCTTCTTCTTCTTCTTTGTCCCCCGTGACTGCCCAAATGAGTGAAGTGTGCGATGATTCTAAGATCGACGGCACTCATCTGCATGTCATACTGACTGACAGTATTATTTCTCTTCCCCAGCAGACTCCAAGGGCATTTAAATTAAAGGTACAGTGTTCTGCACTAATATAAAGGCTCTATGAAGCCTAGAAACCCTTTTTAATAAGTTAAAATTCGCATCGAATCGAATTTCTCCCGCAAATTCGGCGAATCAGCCGAATCGAATTTTTGAATTTCGCTCATCTCTAATTCCCACCAATGCACAACCCAACACGGGTCTTGCCCAATTCCTGTCCCATCCTCTACATCTCAAATTTCCCCTCTGAGTGTAAATCCCCCCTCCTGCAAGAATTCCTCCCCCCCATATTTTCCCCTTCTAACACAAATCCTCCCCCTTCCTAACACAAATCCCCACTCCTGCAAAAATTCCTCCCCCAAATTTTCCTTTCTAACA